CTCCCCCCGCCCCCCCCCCCCCTCACACACACACACACACACACACATCCCAGAGACTTTTTATATACATACTGGTGGAGAATAAACCTTTCATACCTTTGTTTACTCTGTGGTCTGCTTCTGGGTCCTCCTTTCTTCGTCGTATCAACATCCCATACTAATAATTACCTGAAAAAGTCTTAAAAAATAAAACATTCCCATAAATTAATAAAAATGCACTCACTGTTATGATCTGTTCCCAAATTAACACTCAGGAAAACCTAATCGAAAACAAAGAAGAGATATATATACTGTATATAAAAACTGTACACAGACAGAACCCTTAGACTAAAATGCCTTAAAATATGTTGGATATTTCTATGCTTGAAATTCAGAGAAATACAGGTTTTTTGGGTAAGTAAACCTTTGATCAAAACAAACACTATTCTCTGAAGTCTTCAAAAAATTGAATTTAACTAAAAAATATTTAAAAACAAATTGAAAAGGGTTAAAAAATAACATGCATCCAAAAAAGTAATAAAAATGCACTAATTTGCCATAAAATGTGTAGATATGCGCGTTTTTATGCTTGAAATTCCAGAATTTTCTTTCTGAATATTAACTTCAACTTTTGATCAAAAACACATCATTTTCTGAAAAAGTCTTAAAGAACAAAATGTCCCCAACAATAAATAAAAATGCATTAATTTACCTTACAATCTGTAGATTAAAAAATGGAGTAGTAGTTGGTCTGGTTGTGCTGCGTTGAAGGTCTTTGTGATGTTAGATTCCTGATTCCATTATTCCGGTCTTCATTTGTCTTTAAAGTCTGAAATGCAGGGAAGAAAAGTCCACAGCTACTAATCCAAGTGTTTGTTTGCTCAAAATATCATGCTAATCATTTACCATGTGTCAACAACATTCAAAAAGCCAGTTGTACAACATCACAGTACAGACATTGCCATGCTTTAAAATCAAACATCTACTAGCATAGCTTAAGGTAAGTCTTATTAAAACTTGATCAGATAAACGTGTGTCTTTTAACTCAGTGTTTGCTGTGTAGCAGTTGTTAAGCAGGGTTTCAGGATATAAACACTGACAGCAAAGGTGTGTTTACACACAAGCAGGTAGAACGAACAGCTTGGGGATTACTGGGTCGACTGAATGAATAAGATGGAAGACACACTTTTTAAGTAGCTTGAGATCTCAAACTCCTTCAGGGAAATATTAAACTCTATTTGTAGAAGTCATCAGCTAAGAGCAGACTCCAAGAAGTGTTCGCTAACTTTTAGCCCAAGAAACTTCACTGTCAGTGTTGGAAAACTGTGCTTACAACCACCTTAAAGATGAGAGTTTCTGCCTGTACCGTACACACCAACTCAGCCTGGCCTCCATCACTGTCCACGATTGGACCTTGGACCTAAGAGTGGTAGAAGCAGCTCTAATGCCGTGGTAGCACTCTGAGATCAAACAGCATCACCGTCAGATCTGAAAGAACAAACGAACCACTAAGTAGCAATAGCCAAATATTTCTACTCATGATGTCACAGTGCATCTAATTGTTTTCAAACCCTCTCCATGCTAGTTGTGCGGAGACAGTTTTGGTTGTGATCTTTATTCATAGCGAGGACCGAACTGTTTCTAATCCTGCACCATTAGTTCTACTTCACATTTGTGCCCCCCACACCCCCCTCCCCAAACCCCACTGTGCTAATGGCACATTTGTACCAATTATTTGCTTTGCTGAGCTCGGAAACCTCCGCGTTCACCTTGGCTATAAAAGCATCGACTGTTAGCAGTGAAACAGAAACACAAAACAAATAAAATGCAGAGAAAAACAATTATTACCCCCCCCCACATTCCCTAATAAGGAACCTAATAAAAAGTTAATTAATCCCATGTTTAAAGTCAGGGAGTCACTAATGATGGGGTTTCACTTTCAAGTGGAATTGTTTCTATTTAGTTCCAGAATAATGTTTTTTCTAAAGCAGTCACTCGTTAAATGTAGGCAATTTACCCCGTAAGCCTGTTGTAGGAGGTTCACAGGTTCAAATATGTACTTGTGTGTGTAGAGGAGCACAACACCTTTCAGTGCAGCTCATTAGAAAGTACTTCAACCTACTGGTTGTACTGGTGATCAGACTAAAAGGCAAACATCACACACCTGAATCAGATTCAACTGTTTATATGTTTGTTTATATATATATATATATATATAGATAGATAGATAGATAGATAGATAACTAGATAGGTAGATAGCTATACAATATGGATGTGTAGAATACAATATGCTGAAAACTTGTATGAAACTGAGAACAAGACAAACTGAGAAGGCAAAAGGAATCCCTCACTGAAATGTTCAATAACTTAGTGGTTAGTACTGAGTCCAGATAAAATATTTAATCTGATTAATCACAGTGGGCAGCAGTGGATTAATGTAGATTAATTATGAATAATAATGATCATAATAAATTATGGTTCATTATGTTGGTAAATTAATTAATCAAGACAAATCACGGCTAAACTTGAAAAACAATTCTGTCTATTATAAAACTGAAGTTCTCGTATGAAGCAGGACATCACCTCCCCTCCTCCCATCTCCTCTCCTCTCCTCTCTCCCCTCGTGCATTAGTGAAGCCTTGTCTCCAAAATCCGGTGTAAGTACTGTTCTCCAAGTCTGTGTGATCTCAGATCAAAGAAAGGCTCTTGTAACAGTAAAAGCATTGAATTTGAATACACACACACACACACACACACACGTCAAGCCACAAAATGTCTTCTAATTTGAGCCTGTGATTCTGAGTGGGCCCTTGTGTCCAGCAGACACTGATGAAAGCGTCTCATCTTGTGGAAGGGTCAGGAGACGGAGTGTGGACTCAGTTCTATCAAAGAGACGTAAATGATCCCTGGGAGCTGGAGCGCAGTTCTCTGTCCGTCCACACGACCTCCCTTTAATCTCCCTGTGCTCTTCACCAACACTTGGTTATCCAGTAAATGATAGAGAAAGGAAAGAGCTCCTCAAATTTTGTATGTGTTGCTCTCAGAAAAAAGGACACCCTGAGAGGACTGTCTGCTTCTGGGGATCCTTGGGTCGGTCTGATAGAGGTGTCAAAGGACCGACTGTAGAGGAACTGATACGGTGTTCAACAACGATGGTACAGTAAACCGTTTCATCAGAAGGCTGGGGTGATTAAATAAACATGTCGATTCTGTTCATTAATTTGTGAAGGTTAAAATATAATTGGCTAAAATTTAAAACTCATTGGGCAGGTCACGCTGTGTCTCAACTACGGAAACTGAACAAAAGTCAAGATTCAGATGTTGTTTATATAAATTTATGACTTAAATCTCGTGTTTGACTTAATCTTTTTGATCAACAATGTGGCCGTAGTACTGCGTCCCAGGATCAGTGTAGGAGTTAGTCAAAAAGAAAAACACGTTTCATTCACACTGAAAATCAAAAGGTCTGAAAAGATCCTTACCTGGTACGAAGGTATTGGTTCTCAAACGATGGTACACGTGACCCAACTAGGGCGCCCTGTAGTGGAAGCAAATACGTGACATCAATAGTCAAAGTTGTAGAACTTGAAGAACACAGTATATATGTGAATGATATTCAAGGTAGACAATTCCCCCTAACGCCCCACCACCTCACCCCACTGCCCCCCCTCTCTGTGTCCATTTTTAAAATTCAGTTCTGCAGTTATGAGATTGTGACTTCTAGCTCTTTTTTCAAGGCCCAGCTTTGATCAATGTTTTGTATGCCTTTGTCATGGCCCTTGAAATAGCTCTGCGTCCTCAAGGAGGGACCACCCCACACTTTGGGAACTGCAGCCTTACAGCAGTAATGTCAGTGGTCTGATCCCTGGAGGTGACTTCATGGAGTCACAGTCCAAAAACAGGATTAGGTTTATTGTTCCCTCTCTTTCTCTCCTCTCTCTCTGTGACGCCTTCTCTCCTCCACACAGTCAGAAATCACAGCCTCACGGCCAGCACTCCCACAAATGTGAAAATGAAAGCACTCACCTCCTGTGGTGGGAGCAGAGTGAGGAAGTGGAACACGGCGTGGGAGACGAAGAAAAAGAGAAAGGAGAGAAAGAAGGGAAGGACGACTGCTGAGAGCAGTGTCACAGATGAACACAGGACTCCCATACGTGTAGTTCTTAGTACGTGCAGTACAGTATACACAGTACTACATTGGTCATCAGAACTAACAGGACATTAATAAATGCAGTAACAAAATTGCACCATGCTGCAGCTGACACTCATGTGTTTTTGGTGTGATGTGACTTTTGTTTTACACTCAAATTTATTTCAAGATTTTGATTTGAAATCATAAAAGTCTGTGTGGGAGTGAGAACTGAGTGTGATTGAAGGTGTCCCTGGTGTTTGGTGCTCTCTCTCTCTCTCTCTCTCTCTGAAGGTGTCCCTGGTGTTTGGTGCGCTCTCTCTCTCTCTCTCCTTCGGTGTGTGTGTTAGTTGTGTTGAGTCTCGTCCTCCCACCTCCACTCCTGTCAGATGACTTATTGCGTGGTCCAGAAAACAAAGTCCAAAATGTCAGACCTCCAACAAGAAAAGTTCCCTGGAATGTCACTGGATGGAGAAGGATCCAATCAATCACTAATACATACTTTAATAACAAATTTGCAGAATTATCATGTCATTTGTTTATCTGTTCATACAGTGAGGCTGTAACGACAAGTTAGCTTAGCCTTGATAGCAGTGTCTCAGCAAAAATGTAAAAGGAGGACGTGTACAGAGTGTCTCGTCTCACTCCTCCTTTTGTTTCATTAATGCACTGGTGGACATCAGAGTAATTCTTCAAAAACATCAGGTAATTATTAACTTACCCCAACAGGTCTGCCTCTGCCCCCAACTCCCAACCCTGTGAGGAGGGTCGCATTAGGAAGAGAATCTAGAAGAAAGGACAATGGCATCTACTGCAAGAAGAAAGGATTTCTGCTACTATGTTCACTGCACACGCTCACATCACAATACATATATATTTTTTATATATGTGTACATACACACATATACATCTACATATATGCACACATACATATCTGAATATATATTTTTATATTGCTCATGATCTACCTGCACTCCCCTTGTGATCTACAGGTAGATCCCAGTGTACTGATTGGCCACCAGTCTTACATACTTATACCTTCACTGTTTTGTTTTGCAAACTGAACTGTACAATCAGAGATGATTTTTTGAAAACTATTTGTAAATGACATGTTTCAGTGTTGGGGAGGTTTACCTCGGGTCGACACACCAACCTTAATGGAGAGGGTCATCCTAGAAGAAAACAGAATAAAAGTCAATATTTTTTCTTCTCGAAACTCAAACTAATGTTTTCACCAACTAAAGTTTGTCCTAGAAACTAATCAAACAACAAATGTTATAACTGATGCCAGCAGGTCAATAAAAACTGCCTTTCTACAAAAACAGGTTTATTTATTCATGGACAACTGTACATTTCTTTTCAGTGCTGACAGCATTTGCTACATACTTTGGTGTGATTCCGAGGGAAGGTTGCATTTCTCCCCCTCTGCTGACCTGCTCAGGAGCACAGGGTAAAAACCTCATTATTCACTCGTTTCTCCTGAAATCAATGCTGACACTGAACTCATTTGTATTCCCACTGTAACTTCACAAGCACTTACAGGCACTGAGCATTTTTTTTTCTAGAAAGACAGAGAGCAATCAGGTCAAAGTTCGATCTGCCCTCTACATCACAGTCCACCAAACATATTCCAGGAATAAAGATAAGATACCAGGGCAGAAGGGTTCCAATAGTGCAGATTGTACTGTTTGACCGTAGTCTGGGAAAGATCAGGGGTTCAAGTCAACATCCACACTGTTCAAGTTCACAAGAAGCCCGTTGGCATTCAGTTAGCGGCTGCACTTCTGCCAGCTGAGGTCTGAGGGTTAGGCTAAACATTAAACACCGACACTGATCTCCCATTACCAAACATGCCAAGACACAGGGAACCATGATACACCGGGAAACAGGGCTCATCAATATAAATGTATATATATTTATATCCATCTATTTTTATATTGATAGATATAAATATATATATATATATATATACATACACAAATGTATTCATATCTGCTGTTAGGGGAAATAAAACGTTAGGAATGTTGATTAATCTCAATTAATCACGATTAATCATGATTAAATACAATCACAATTAATAATAATAATCCACAGCTACCCTGTGATTAATCAGATTGAAAATTGTGTGTTGTATGAGGATTTACATCCATCTCCTCCCTGGATCAGTTTCCTGTTCGGTGCCATCGTGGTCCAGACCAGCACAGACTCTGTCTGAGGACTCAGTCCAAATGTTCTGGTTAAGAGCGTCTCATCCCTCGGTCCGTTTGTGAGAGGATCAGACAGATAATGTGCTACAAGAAAATCAAATAAGTAGCAGGTTAAAAAGTTCTACTTCGTCTACTGTACGTATCTGTAACATCATTAGACAGGAGACAGAGCGGGTCAGAAATCGTCACAAGTACACCCAGGAGATGAAAATATATAATCTTATATATAAAATGTTTTATTTATTCCAGTATTTACAATTTTCACAATAAGTTTGAGGAAACTTTTTCAGAAATGAAGCACTGCTTCCGAGGGAATACACCCAAAACTCTGAGTCGAGGAAAAAAGTGAGGAAAAAAAGTGCAACCCACAAAAGAAAGAAAAAAAAAACCCTCTCAAAAACACATGGTCAAAAAAAGCTAATTCCCAGCAAAAGCATCCTTAGACCAACAGATTCCATGATTTCCAACAGTTAAGTTCCACATGTTGTCTTGTTGTAGTCCACGATTGGATGTCAGGGGGAAAAGAAGAGTCTTTTCAGTAGAAACGCTGAGGCAGAGCAGCAGAGAGTCTTCTCCTTAGTAGATGACCTCATAGACGGTGGCCTTCTTATCACCGGACCCTGTCACAATATATTTGTCGTCTGCTGAGATGTCGCAGCTCAGGACAGAGGACGACTCCTTCGACTGAAAACAAAACATATATATATATATAATTACACTTGGATCAAATGTATGACAAATAACTAATTGAAAATTTAAAAAAAAGGGCAACTAAAGCAGTGGATTAAGATAAATTAAGATTAACAAGTCACAAGTCAAAAGAACAGGTATGATGGAAAAAGAAAACAAAAAGCAGCTTCGTTTGTCTTTTGTCTCCATTGACCGGTGAGACGGCAGCAGTGTGGTGTGGAGTTGGAATTGAAACTGTAACCTCTGATTATAATCCTGGTCCTCTAACCGCCATGCCACAGTCTGCCCATACATATACATATATACATATATATGTGTGTGTATATATATATATACATACATACATATATATATATGTATGTATATGTATATATATATATATATGGTCCTGATGACCACTCAAAGATGACCACTCAAAGTGCAGAGGTAGAATTTGAAATCGAACCACAAACCTCCACGTGTAAGAGAACTGCTTGACCTAGTGAGCCACAGTGCCCCCTTTAATAAAGTCAGTAATGTTGCCATAATGACAGAGGATGTGCTATGACCCCAGAGAGCCAACACACTAACCCTAGCAGTGGAAATGTGTGCATTTCCTGCATATTTGTTTTTCAATCACATTTACTTAAATGATTTACTTACTTTTGAAAATATGATGTTTTCTGTAACATTGCCTGTAACCCCGCGTGTGTGTGTGTGTGTTTACCTGGAATATGCTGGCTCCATAAGGAGTCCTCCATGCGTTCAGCAGATTATCCTTCCCTGTGCTCACAAACCATTTACCTGCAGACGGAAACGAGAGGTTTTTTTTTAACAATCATTTGACAATAAATATACAGTAGATTCTCTACAATGACCTCCATCTATTTTCTCATTAACCTACAACCGCAAACATTAGCATAGCCACCAGCTAACACGACCCTTACAAAAAAACTGATAAAAGATGTCATGACATTAATAATCATAAAAAGCCCATAATGAAGATGATCAGATGATCACACATTTACACCCATGATTATTTGAATCACTTCCTCATTAATAACCCAACTGACGGGTTGTCATTTATTTAATTACTCCCAAACACTGTTAGAGTTGACAAGTTCTGCAACAGCAGCCATATCAGAGTGCTGCTGCTGCTGAAGCTGCAGCTGTGGAGGTTTGTGAAAAGAAATACCAGTGAGATTTATTTTATGAAAAGATAATAAGGCCCCCAGTAAACTTCAGTGCTCTGAGACACAGGCCTGAGAGCAGCTGTGCTGCTCAGAAGACGGAACGATCTGAAGTTGTACAACGTTGAACAACAACAGCCTCCCTGTTCTTTCATCAAGATTTAAGTGTAATTCAGGTTTTTAGACTAAACTGGTGTTGTAATGAAATCTCAGAGGACGCTCGTAAGAAGGCTGAAAAAAAATTGGATGTTATTTTATGGCCAATAGACATAGGTCATGTGACTGCTGTTGTCCTACTGATATGGAGATCCAGTGTTGATATTAATGGATTTCAACTACACTATTACTGCTGTGTTACCAAACATTATTAAATGTTGCAACATCTGCTATCTCTAGGAAATGTTTCAAAGTCAACCACTGCAACAGTCACATTCACTGATAACAAACTCAGCCAAGTAAACAAATCCAAGTTTTTCGCTTAAACATGTTGTTAATGAATGAATTGATGAATGATTCAAGTGGAATTTTCCAGAGAAGTTAGTGAACCAAAAGAAAAAGAAAAAAAAAACACGCCTACAAATCTTTGAATTGGCAGCTGGGACCTGTCACATTTACAGGGAATTGTATAAAAACATGGAGTCAGCAGTGGAGGTAAACTGCTGTTGACAGACCATCAACTTCATACTTCTAAATTGTACTTAAACATAAATAGCAGCTGTCAATCCTGATGTATGTTGTCACTATAAGTGAGTGACTTCTGTCTGTGACAAAAAAAAGAACCGTCCATCCTGTCCACTGGACCTAAAGTTCTCTGGGATGGAACAAAAAGCAAATGAGAACAAAAGAATGTTCTATGGTCAGATGAGCTCAGGATTTAGTTTGTTTGGATTCTTTGTAGCAAAAACCCATGGAATCTGAGGAATTCTATTCCCTCCTTGTCTGAAGTTCTATTTTCATGACTATAATTATTGTGAACAAGGCGGTTTGTGTTTGTTCATCAGCAGTCGCTTCACTGTCTACTCTGTTTCTCTGGTGTCTGCTAAACTGGTGAAAGCGTTTGAATTCAGTCTTCTCACCACAGTAGGCGAACTTGAGCGAGAGGACGCAGCTTTCATGCAGGTGCAGCTGGTACTTGTCAGGCTTGGTGTGATGAAGCACCTCCACATTGCTGCTCTCCATGCCAACAGCCAACCATTCTCCAGTGGGACAGTAGCCCAGTGAGAAGATCTGCAACCAGGGAACAGTTGGAGCACAGAGCAGTGTGAGCATCACTTCACAAGTAGGATAAAAGACAGTTTGCAGCCAGGGATGACTGACCATAATATCAACTGTTACCTGGAGAACTGAATGTTCATATATATTTAATATATATTATATATATATATGACTTTGATCTTACCAATAGTTCAACAGGCACCATAATGTACAGTTAAAGTAGACACATGCTCAGGTAACAACACATTAAACAGAAGCCTCCAGGAGCATTCACATATAAAACTTAATTTCCCAGCTTTTAGACAACCTAGGGCAATGTCTAAAACAAAGTTTACTTAACAAGGAAACACCAGAGCAACACTTTGTTTTTAGTGATGAGAACTCTCTACAAGTGCAGTGCTAAAGTTGCTTTTATTTAGACTCAAACATCCAACTTCTTGACATTTGGAAGTTGACCAATGTTCTGTACCTGTGAGGTAAAGTCATGCTGCTGGAGCTGTCGCCCCTCTCTTAAATCCCATGATCGGACGGTGTTGTCCAGTCCTCCGGTCCATAACTTGGTCCCATCATGTGAGATATCAATACAGCTGGCTCCATCTGTGTGGCCCTGGAACTGCCTGAAACAGAACAGAAGTCCAGGAATCAGGACAGGAACAGGTGAGAGAGCCTTTGGAAAATGAGGCAATGACAACTTCTCAGTTCTTTTGAAGTTAACACCCACCTAACCAGGGTTTGGTTATGAAGGTCCCACACAGCGATGTTGCCATCAGAGCAGCAGGAGAAGCAGACTTTAGCATCCGGGCTAATGGCCAGAGCGTAGCAGGCAGGAGCAGAGGAGGTGAGCTCGGCTTTAATGCGGGGCGTCTGGGAGGCCAGGTCCCAGATGGTCAACGTACTGGCCTCTCCACCCACTATTAGGGTGCGTCCATCAGGCAACAGCTTGCATGAGCGGATATAATTGTCTCTGTTCTATAGAAGACAAACAAAAGGCCGTGTCATGGTCTGGAGATCGCAAGGCCATTTACCTGTAATGTACTTTAGTAAATTACTTATAAATAAAAAGTAAATTATTATTATTATTATTATTATTATATATTAAGCTCCTTAAAGTAAGGGTTTTATTACACATTGGTTCCACAAAAAAAAAGCTAGGCCACGTGTTTGTTTTAGTCAAGTTATATCTATTGATCTCAAATTCTGAGGAGTTTTCGTTTTAAGGAGCCAAATGTCATGACCACAGTGAAGATGTGAACGTCAGCTGAGGGGAGGAGCCCAGAGCTGCTGCTGTAGTTGTTGGCCAGGCTCCAGGAGAGCAGGAAGACGGAGATCAATAGGACGGTGGAAGTTCTGGCTGAATCAGAGCAGCACCCTGATGGCTTTATGCTCTGGACACACCTCAGGGCTGTTTGAGGCCATATGAGATGGGCATCACAAAGCAGCGGTATCAAAATGAGATATGGAGACAGTTGGACGGAAGTAATGAGCTGGGTAATGGCAGACAGGGTTGGCCAATCAGAGAATCATTACTCAGCAGGCTTTTCCCCTCACTAAGGACTATTTCAGTGCCGCACTCAGACACTTTGCTGAATTGGAAATATTTTTTATCAGTCAGACCTTCAGAAAAATCTAGACCTGAACTAAATTTTGTGAAACGCAGTTAGGTAGAAGGCAACTGGACTGTCTTGGTTTCTATAAGACATTTCACTTCTTCATTCAAGAAGCTTCTTCAGGTCTAACTGACTGCTGAAATAATTCTGGGATTTTGCCCTCAGAGTGGCTGAATACCTGAAAAGAGAGTCATCATAACAAGACAAAGGAGGTGACTGCGCCCTGACCTAATGGCATGATGCTGTGATCACCTGGGTCAAGGTGTGAAAGGGGGGCTGAGTCCCATGGGAGTATGGGAGGCTAAAAGATGGTGTCTTTCAAACTACGTTTTCTCTAACAAGAATATGTTCATTTCCATCATTTGACCATGAGATGTGGATGAACAGCTGAGTCCTGACCTGAAGAGTTGACTGTTGGTTTCTCTGATGTCAGACAATATACACAATATTGCTCTGTTTGTGCTCTGATATTTTCTCCATTAGGCTGAACTGTTTTTTGTCACAGGGTGTTGCTGGGTTTGAAGTAGACTGGGTTTTGGAGTTTGTCTAATTTAAGATTGAAAAGTTCTGTTAGGCAACTGGACGTCCAGTTGGTCATGAGACTCAGAGATACAGGTCAGTGCGAGTCGGTTCCCGATGTTTACAGCAGAGCCCAGGGCAATGTGTCTTTGCCAACATGAACAAGAAGTAAAACATCTTCTAGAAACCAAGACAGTTGCCTTCTTCCTACATTAACTGCTTTGGAGTAAATGGCCTGGATAACTGAGAGCCTACATAAAGACATTTTAGGCATATTTTCATTTCTTTTCTTCTAATCTGTGACATTAAATAATATGTATTTACCAGGCAGTCAAGCTGAGACACTGGGCTCTTGCTTCCTGGTTGGCTGATGTCCCAGATCTTGACACAGCCCTTGCCACCAGTGTAGACATGACGTGTTGGGTTGCTGATGGTGACAGCGCACACCACCTCTCCATGGCTGAGAGTGTTGATCTGACGAGCATGGCGTGGGATGCCTGGGCCTACCAAGGCATCTGGGGGAAAGGGCACAGGCTGCATCTGCCCATCAGCACTGACATGAAAAGAATAGGCTCTGCAAAGACAGGAGAAAGGGTGGTCAATTTCAGCTTAGTTAACCTCTAAAATGACCTTGCTTGCAAGAAATGTTTGCTACTGTAGGAGAATAACAGAAAAACTTACGGTTTTCCTCCAGAAATTGAAGTTAAACTCGTCGGCAGCCCTGGAGCTCTCATATGAGGATGGTCAAATCCTGCCTACACAAGCAAAAAAAAAACAAAGACTTTAATCAATAAACTTTATAAATAAGGAGGGAGAGAGAATAAACATAATAGTTTGGCAGAGTTTCTACACGAGACGCCCTTTCTGATGCAACCCAACCTGGGATTGGGGACTGGAATCCTACCACTGTGCTAAACTAGCCCAAATAGATTACATCAAATTGTCAACTTTGCTCCACATGAGCACTATGGAAAAACATAATATTTGACAAATGCATACAAAGTTTCACTAATCACAAACACACTCTGTACAAGACTCCAAGAAAAAAGGCTTTGGAGGCAGGTTTTTCAGCATTAGGAATGCTCAACAGACATCAAAAGTAGAAAAGCAGGACTGTCTCTGTACAGTCATCATGAACACACACACACACACACAACTTGGAACCAGACAAACTTTTTCAAAGACAATCAGCAAATAGCTTGAGTTAAATAAAAAGTCTAATATCAAACACAGAGTCACAAACTTCATACAGACATAAAAAATAATTACAATTGGTGAGCGTCCGTAGGCGGCAGCAGCTGCAGCACTCATCTGAGGTGAGATGAGACCAGGATAAACTCCGGGACTGGTCAAAGATCCATTCATCTCATGAGGACCCATCATGGCGAATGGAGTGGCATAGGAACCAGCAATGGACAGGGGTGTACGCAGGGCAGGAGCAGCTGCAGAATCACATTTAAGAGTTTGGCTGAGATAATTATATGTTAGTTGTAAATATTAAATGATTGTTGATGACTATGGTCAGCCTTTTACTTTGTTACATCTATAAATTAAAAGTACCTCACAGAAATCATCAGGTGTACCGTGGGAAATCATCCAATTTCACTTAATCCATCTTACCACTACTATTTAATTAGTGCAAATAATTTGTCTTTGTTCGTCTAGGTGAGAGTGGGAGACCAATTAAGTACTCTCCCATTAGGTGGCAGCAGATAGCAATTAAAACAACAAAAACACTGTTAAAAAGGATCTGTGTTTCTTCAATCCCTGTGAGTATAGCAGCATGTGTTTATCTAAACAGGCCCATGTTTCACAGAGTAAGTAAATTGTGAGATAGATATCCTGATCTTTGTGTCATTTTGTATTGCTGTATTATTTCCATTAAAACACTAAATTTCACCTGTCAATGAAACACCAAAGAATGAAAAACAAAAATGACTATGATTACTTTTTTCATTGTTTTGTTTAGCCTGCCAGGGGGAGTAGCAAATACTGTATACAAAGATGAAAAGTCAATGTTTTGTTAATTACCAGTCTCTGGAAATCCTAATCTTACTTATTATACCCAGAAAGCACCAGACCTAAACAAATAATAATATTCGTTGTTAATGTACCTAAAGCTTCCATGCCAGGTGGTTTACCCATAGGGAGGGGTCGCAGCCCTGGAGTGGTGCTGGTTCCAGGTGTTGGCACTTCATTCCTTGGGGTTGGTGTGTTAGATTTCAGGCTCGGTGTAGACGACTTGTCATTCTGTAACACAAATGCTCTTTGATTAATGTGTGACCACCTATTTTTACCTTACTTAAAAATGAAACACCATTCATGTTAAAATAGAAGAAGAAAAAATCCACTAGCAGAAAAAATGCATGAGCAGGCTGAAGACTAACCTAGAACTGACATTTAATTAGAGCCAAATGTCAATGAAGGGGTCATCTACCTTTAGCTTCAAAGTCAAGCTTGTTAAGAGGGTCTACACCACCAAGGTTAGGTCCAAACACTCTTTTTCAGAACAATCTATTTTATTCCTATGCAGAACAAGATCAAGCTTTAGGTTGGTGACACATTAATGAAGGGTGAGTCAGGCCAGGTGCCAGGGGAAGTATGATGTGTACAATAAATCTATTCTTATCCCTGGTGGAAATATAATGTAAAACGCCATGTAAAAGACTATAACCAAGCTTGTTAGTGAGAGGTAAAGCTGTAGAGAAAAGGGTTGATCGTAGAGCAGATGATGAGTCACAGTCTGTGGAGGTGACAGCTCTTCCCCTGCTAATCTGTCCTGGGGTTATTTACGGCCTCTGCCCGAGGCAGAAGAAATGACCATTTATTGGGTAAACCATAAAGGTGATTGAGAGAACTGTGCCTGAGGGTTTGATTTCCTCAGAGTGCATCCACCTCCTGCCTCCTTAAAGCCCCTCGTAGCAGCCCACTACTAAGCCACTGTTCATAGGCCCTTCACACAGGCACCTACTTCAGTTGACAACTGCCCTTTAGTCTGTCACTTCCCCCATCAGCCCCTCCACTCTAACCACCTTGTTTCATCATCTCTAGACTTTCAGTGCGTCCCTCACACTCACATGGGCGTGGTCCTTTGCTTTGGAGGACGGCGTGCTGCCTGAGGAGGCAACAGAGGCGGGGCTGTTGGGGGCGGCATCCTTCTTTAGGACTCGTGATTTATCGAGGCCATTTTCCGGAGGAGAGTGAGCTGGGCTGCCTCGTGGGGTGGCTGGATCCTACACAGTTAAAGGAAACACACACAGAGCAGGAGTGAACAAACAGAGCAGAGGAAAGCCACTGGCATGTACATGCAGGTCAAACAAACTTGGGCCTCGTGTGCAAACACAGTTAAATACACTCAAGTCTGCTTACACTATTACACACACACGCACACAGACAGGCACGCACACACACACACACACAGACTCTCTTATGAAATTCAACCAAAAGTGACAGACTTTTTGTTGGTAGTTCAGTGGAACACACTGAGGTTACCACAGAGAGATCACAAAGACTTCTTAATTCAGTGTTAACCCTGGAATGTGACTGAACCACTCTGTTCATGTGCCGTCATACCTCGTTGGAAACATCCACCACCAGGTCATCGCTTTTGTCGCCATCACTGTCCTAAAATGGAGGAAGAATGGTTGAACATTATGCTCTTTATACAGTCATACAATAGAAAGAATGAATGACACAATGCACTGTTTTGACAACAGGAGGTAAATGAAATCTGATTCAACCATGTGCCATGATGCAATAAATGACTATGCTTTTTTTTTTTTTTTTTT